TAGAATGATGTCTTTCTGTTTAGATTTTTTATTTTTGAAAATAGCTGTCGCAAGGATGGGTCTGTTGACCATACCCTTATGCTATTAAAAATACACTTTGGTGTGGACTTCTCTTCCTAATCTCTGGGCATTTTCTCCTGTGAGTAGGATCGAAATTGGATCTGGAATATTACTTGAAACTTCTTTTAACAGCAACAGTGTGTTTCTGTCTTTTAGTATTATTAACAATGTTCTGTTGCTTCTGTATTTGTATTTTATGTTTAGATTTTTTAATGGTTATTGTATCTTCTCAGGACAGCCATTCCCAGCTGGTTTTGATCTCATTTCATCTCTGGCTGTGCATGTAGCAAATTGAGTGCAGTTGTGGAGATCAAGCCTTTGCACATTATATGCAGAAATGTGCTTTACATTCTCATTCACCACTCCCACACCCCAGATGGGCTTTCAGCACAGCCTTCTCACTGTGCTGGTGTTCCAGCCTCTTGTGCTGAAGTGATTTTGTTGGTCAGGAGTAACTTGCACTTACTCAAGTTATGTTTGTGTAGGGGTGTATTGTGTGACCATAAGAAAAAAAAAAAAAACTGGGGGGAAAAAACCCAAACAGCAGAACTCACATGCTTAACATCTAAAGTACTTGTGCAGTAGATGTTCTTCAAATTCTTTTTCTAAACCCCTCTTCCTTTTCCCTGTCACAGGTAATTAATCTGCCTTTCTATGCATATAGGGTTGCAGTAGTGCAATGGAATGAAGGGATTTTTTTGTCATTTATATTGTACCAGGAAGAGATCAGAAATTGACTTGCAGATGGGGAGGGTGAATAAATCCTGATCTTTATATGCTCTTAAGTAAGTAAGAGTATCTGTCATGGGTATTACATACTCTACATTAGACCTTTTTAAATGTATGGTTACCAGGTGATAGTTAATGTGATAAATGTATGAACTATGCTTGGTGTAATTGTTTAAATACTTTAAAGGTGCAGCATATTTTTAACCTGTCTAAAGCACATCCCCACCTCCTTTATAAGAGATGTTTGAAAGCTGAGCATGAAATGTGGTAGAATAGATGTGGAAACCAAGGTGATTATGATAGGATTTGACATAGTGGTGAACAAGGTATATAGTCTCTCTCTTTGAGAAAAGTTCTTTTATAAAGAAGGTGGAGAGTAGTTCTTCCAGTTCTCTTTTGTGGTTTATTTTTTTTTTCCTGAACTGAGAAGTTATTAATTAAAAAAAGAAAAAAAAGCTAATGAGGTTCTCTGTTTGTCTTTCTTCTGTGGCATGTACTGTCAGCATAGAAATGGATGTATGCAACACTTGCAAATACTCAGTGAAGCTGCTAATTATGTGAATGTTGAGATTGTACAAGCAAATACCATCCCTGACTTGTAGTAACTGAAAATTAGATGAGTTTTTGTCATTCTCAAACTTCCTTAAAAGCATCAGATGATACTGCAAAGGATCGTCAGTATCCCTAGAGGATGTATAATAAATTGTATAAGCAAGAGATTGTTAAATAGAAGTAAGAGGGCTCCCAGATGCTTACAAATTAAAAAGCTTGCTACTTTTAAAAAAGTAGTTACTATTTCAGTTTCACCATAAACACTGAAGTGACAAGTATTTTACCACCTGATTTAACAGCAGCCTAGATGAAATTACTGTAATACTGTGTTCATCTTTATTCACTTAATTTGTATAAATTATAAGGTTTCAAATGACTACTGTTAGTACAACTTTTTCTGGACAGGACCTTAGCCTTGCTGAGTAAATAGGAGGACTTGCCTGCACCCTGTTGTATCTGAGGTGCAAGACAGTAGTGCCAGAGTTGTTAAGCTTCAAGTTGCAGTTCAGCATCCCAGGATTTTTGTGCTGCTGCCATTCCCATACTTGAAGCTGGATACCCTTTAATGTTGTAGCTAATCTATGTTGCTGTTCTTAAACCAGCTGTCAGGCTAAATTTAAGTGAAACTCAAACTCGGGTTAAGTATTGTAAAATTGAAAACACAGTGTTGTTCCATGCACCAGAAAGATGAGCTGATAGCCTTTAAAACTGGTAATTTTGGCTGGCCCTGCACTTGCAGTGGTGGATTTAAATGTTTTATACTCCATTATGTCCACAAATGACTTGTAACTAATTCAGTTTGAGGAAGCTGCTGCTTTGGGATTTATGCACTATTGAGAGATCAGGTCTGGCACAGCCAAAGCTCTTCCAAGCACTTTCTATAAAGAATAAAGAAAAATGTTGGTGGGACTGAGGGGAGCAAATGTATGGCCACTGGCAGCTCCTAGAGCTCTTGGAGTGGCTCAGGTACTTGAACTCTGTAGGATAATTTCTGCTTGAACTCTGAAACTGTTTTCATTGTATTTCACAGGAAAAACTTGGTGTTTGACAGTCCAAGATTAATCATTAGTTCTCTCATTCAGCAAACAAAACACATGCGTTTGGTACCAATTTTTGGTCTTCAGTAGAACTGTGTGGGGCAGATGGCTTAGCCTGCAGCAAGAGCTTAGGGAAATAAGTTGATTCAAGTAAAAGGAGTTAGGAATTTGGGAAGTGAATGCTTATTCCAAATTATGCTCTGAAAATCTGGTTTCTTATGGTCCCTTAGAAGTCTGCTGGAAAGGAGTCTTATTTTTTATGGTCTGCCCTCTTAAAAATAAGTCAACAGTCACTGAAAGTTAGGAAAAAAACATCTTGATTTTAAGAACATGTGAGGAATTTGCATTTTTTCCACCTATTTTATCTAACATTCTTTCTGCATGATGTTTGGGAGCTGAAATACCACTTATACAATTCCAAGGAATAAGTTCTGAAGAAAACTAATTATACTATTTCCCACAGCAATGCTTAATATGCAAAGATTGCTTCTAAATCTGCTTTCCAGGTCATCCTTCTTTTCTTCACACTTCCATTTTGACTTTCAATGAGGAAATTTCTCCCTTAAGCTCATTAGTTTCCATAGGAAATGAATTATAAAAAATGCTAAGTGTGCCATATGAGGTTTAACATCAAAGACATTTCTAGACAGACCATGAATATATGTTGAAGCTGTATTTAGTCTCTGTTGGGTATTCTTTTCAGTGCTGCTGAGTTTCACTTGCTTTCATTAGGTAAGTGTTGGCTTAGGACTTACCTTTTCTTTTCCCTTGCAATTCAAATTAATCTTTAATTGTTTAGAATAAAATCTACTGACTGGACTGTTTGAGTCAAATGTGTTTTGGTAGGGCTCATGTGCCACCCTCCTGAGGGGAAAAACTCCAAGAAGACAGTTCTGAGTAGAAAGAGTTGCAACCAACTGCTCTTTAACAAAAAGTCAGAGTTCTGAAAGGAAACCTCAGTTCATGATTTGCTACTAAGTTATAAGTGGATTTTTCTTGCTAAATGCTATTCTGAATCTTCCAAGTTAGGCTGCATCACCTGGATGTTAAATCTGTTGTTTTCCCTTTGAGCCTCCATTCCCAACCAGATCAAGTACCTGACAGTAAGAACCTCAGCACACCAGATTCTTGTCAGCTTGTATAGCTTCACGCTTTTATTTTGAAGCACTGTTTGTACAGTGAAAAAATAGGGAATGCCCACATATTTTTGTCCTATTTAGTCTACCTAACACATTGGCTAGAGTATTTGACTAGTATTTTCCAGAATAATTCATTTTAAAAAGAAGGAAGGTGAATATTTCTCAGTTTTGTTGCATAGAATTCTTCTCTTTGCTAGCTCTATAATGTTTTTTTTTACATTTTCCCCCCATGCAATTGTGATTGGAATGATTTTTTTCCCCCTCTTCAGTGAGTGTTTGGAGTGCTATCCCATTCACTGCTTGGTTACAGAACGTGATTGGAATGATTTTTTCTCCCCCTCTTCAGTGAGTGTTTGGAGTGCTTATCCCATTCACTGCTTGGTTACAGAATCACACAGCAAACCCTGCACTGCACAAGGGTAAAACTGAATCCAAGCCCATGCATGAGGGATGAGGTTTTCTGTCATTAAAAGTGGCAGCATAGCTCTCCAAAGTAATAATAGCTGTTAGGACAAAATAAATGCCATAAGTAATACTATTTAAAAACTAATCCTAGTCAATATTTACAGCTGAGAGTATTAAAGCGCTTTATTCCACCCAGAGCTTTCAGAATTTCTTAACTCTGCACTGTGACTTTTTTGAAGAGTTTAGGTAGAAGCTGTTTGTGTTCCTGGGGGAAAAAAAAAAAAAGAAAATAGGAGAACTTCAAAACAGTTGCTTTGGCTGTAAGAGGAGGAAAATATTTTATACTTTCTTTGAAAGTACAAATTATAACACAAATACCTTTTTAGCAGTTAATTTTAGTGATCTGCTTAAAAAAAAAAAGAAAAAAAAAACAACAAAAAAAACCTAATCAAACAAAAAAGCTTCAAAAGGCAGGTCAGGAACTGAAGTCTCCCCTGGGGTACCTGCAGCACCCACCTGCAGGCACGGGACTTCAGCATCTTCTAGAGGCAGAAGGCATCACCTTTAAATAGTTGGTCAAACAGCCACCTCTGTTCGGAGAATAAGCAGCAGCGTTCAATTTTGCATGTTCATCAGGAGCAGGGCCTCTCTCACCACAATTATGTGTGTGTATATATAATGTATGTGTGTGTACATATATATATATGTGTGTGTGTGTACAGTCCATGCTGCAGCCAGGGTGTCTGGTGCAGTCCCATGAATAATTGCCCATATGCTGCTGCAGCAGGCACTGATGGATCTGAAAGGAAACACAAGCTCCCACAGAAACCTCCTGTGGCAGCAGTTAGACAAACCTGGTGAGCAAAGTCTGGTCTTTGGTTACACAACAAGTGCTGGAGGAGGTTGGTGTAAACAACCACCTCACCTTCAGTCTCAGAGAAATTGGGAAGGATCTAAAAAGGAGTGTTTGCTTTTCTGCTCTTCTGCCACCACTGGGGTACCCCACACCTCTCCTGGTGCTCTGAGGCACGGCTCAGGCTTTCAGCAAAACAAATTAAGTGTTGTTACACCATAGAAATGAGTGGTTAAACATGCTTTTATTGAAAAAGCCACTTTTTCCAGCCCTTCAAGTGTAACTATTGTCAATAATTGAACACAAGTACTTTTCAAAAGTAGATTTTAGTATTTCAAACTTTAGAAATGTAATAAGTAACAGAACATTAAATTACAATGTATATTAATTTAATGCAGTGGAAGTTATTGTTAGAGTACTGAAGACTTCTAAATATTTTTAAAACCATAAATATATTAATCTCTTCCCTTTGAATCAAGCAGCATTAATTTAAACAACAACAACAAAAAAAAGTACCCACCAAAAAAGAACCAACCAACATGGAGCCAGACTTTGGCACTGAGCACAGTCTGGAAATAATAAATGCAGAGGCTTGTTTGCTGTTCATGTTTGAGTCAACTGCTAAAGGGCAAATGTGTTTTTGCTTCCACTGCTACCAGCTGCACAGCTTCTATGTCTAGGTAGACATGTAAACACACAGAGAAAATATAAGGCAAAACCTATAGTCTTGTGTTGCATATCTCAGACATTAATGGTGGCAAATGGAAGCTGTAACAGCAGGTGAAACCATAAATAATTCAGTTAAATATTTCAGCAATCAGTCTTAAATGCCTTCACAGAGAAGGATTAAGATAACTGGATGCACACTGCAGCTAATACAGGGGAAGACTTGTGCAGAAGATTTCTTTCTGACACCTGTTTTATGACATACTATTGCTTTAAAACAATGTGCTGTTTCAGCTGCAAAATGCAGCTTCAGAGGGAATTGTTTAATTTAAGAAAGAAAAACAATTCTGAATTGTGGGACAAACATGCAGGAGTCTCTTGCAAAGATAGGAAAATATCACCAGGAGGAAATTAAAATACTGATGGGGTTATTAAAGGCAATAGGACTAGCAGGCTTCCCTTTGGTTCAGTGTTCCATTGAATGCCCTGGACTTGTACTCAGGGAGGCACAGCCACGTAGGGTTAATTTCTAAAGAAAGTGAGCACTCAAGTTTGCCCCACCTTAATTTTGTCTTTCAAGTCTTGCCTGCTAAAGGAAGGGGAATAGTTCTCTAGTCAATGTGCGTTACCAGCAATAAATAGCTGGTGAATATAGGATCAGAGCAGCTGCAAATATCCAAGTGTTGGATGCTGGAGACTATTCCTAGTATTTCAGTGTTTTTGTACACATGCTCCTGTTGCCATGAGGAGTCATTTAATGTAGTGGACTGAGGTGTTCTAAGCCTATGTAGACCTAACAAAGATAAAGCTACATCAGACTTTAATAGAACAAGCATCTGGTATTGGGTTGCTCAGCTTGTCTGTACACTTCTCTACAGAGTTAGGAGATGAGATAATCTTGCTCTTTAATATTAGAGTTGCTAATGCTTGGTAAGCTTTGTGCTAGACTGCAGAAGTTATGAAATACTTAAAATGAAGTTTACAAAACTGTATGCAAACATGCATGAATGAACTCTTACCCTTGGCTTGGCAAGGCTTGGATTGTACAGGCAGAGCTACAAACAGAAGCTAACTCAGAGCTCCCAACAGAAAGACTCAAGTGATGCCACAGGGACGGGGACTGATTGACATTTCAGATATAAACCACGGTGTAACCACCCCAGGTTACTTTCACTCCCATCCCAGAAAAGGGGTTCTGCACTCTGAAGTGCCTTTCCAGAGGGTGTTTTCTTGTACAAACTACATCCAAGTCTCATGCAGGAGAAGAGAGATGAGGTTAGTGAGCTGAAGGGGAGTTGGCATTTGTGCTGTGGTTTGTGTCCTTGCAATCTCAGTCCCAACGCGTGCGAAGCCAAGGCTGCTCTCAACAAAGCTGCCACGTGTGACTGCCACACTCAACTCGGCACAGCTTCTGCTCTGCTCGTGTCCCTGCTCCCTCTGGCTTTGGGAACTGATGTTCCTGTCTCTCCGAGGACATCACTGGACTGAAGCTTGGCACAGCGTGGGAGCAGCGGGCGTGCTGCAGTTCTGTGAGGGCTCAGCAGTGCTGGCATCTGCACCTGCTGAGCTCTGCTGGTCCCTGGAGGAGCTGGGGGCCTTCCCCTGGCCTTGGTATGACGTGGGGGATTTTCCCCAAAGGGGAAGGCTCGGTGGGAAGGGGGCAGAGCTGCTCCTCTCCGCAGTCAGAACCGCCGGCTGTTTCTCTGGCACGGCCGGAGCATACACAGCATTTTGCTCTGACAGGTGATCTCCACACTGACTGAGGTGTTCTGCCAGGACCAGAGGCTGCTGATCATCCCCTTCTTCAGAAATAACAAAAACGGGTTTGTTTTTATCTGTTTCTACCATGAGCTCCTTTGTTTTTGAGCCGTTGACCAAGTTGATTTTCAGTGGGTTGGAGCTCTCTAGAAGATTTTTGGGGCTTTGGCTGTTAACTGGAGATGCTGCCCCTAGATGTCTTGAGGGATCTAAGGACCTCATATGTTTGCTGTCAGGGGAACTGGCTAAAAATCCAAAATAAGGGTTTCCAAATCTGGATTTCTTCAGATTGCAGGAGGTTAACTTTCTCTGCCTCTGTGCAGACAGAGTGAGGGGATAGGAGGCATTACTGGCAGATGAATCAGAGTAAACAGTCTCTGATGCTCCCTCGATCTCAGTGGCTGAGATTACCTTTCTGGTTGGCACACCTTGGGGTCTTGCAGCTGTAGAAAAACCCTGCACAAAATAGTACAAAATTAGCAGACATGCCCTGAAAAGCAGCTCGCTCTCGAAACTTTGATCCTGAGAGAACTAAAAGTTAAAATTCCTGGTTATTTTAGAGGTAAGATGCATTCTTTAGCAAAAACCTATGTTATTACCTTAAAAAGGAAGAAACATCCTTTATTAGCTTTGTAACAAGCTGTTGGTTTGATGACTACAGTCAGTGAGACCCAAATATCCCTGCCACACCTACGAATTCCTTGCAGTGCAATAATAATACATCAATTATAATAAATTCAAGGCATAACTGGGGGGAAAAGCACATGTCAGAACACTCAATGAGATAATCTTGTCTGAAGGCATTTTTAATGTTCTTCTGGACTGGGGATAATTTCTTAACCAGGTGCCAACTGCTGGAAAATACAGCTGCTTAATATTGTAGGAAAGCCTGGCTAAATTACAATATAATTAGGGCAGAGACTTTCCCATACACCAAGGAAGATGGACTGAGACGTGTTTGCACTGCAGGACAGAAAGGTGAGGCACTGGCCAAGGGGAAAACGTGTCCCAATAGTGAACAGTGGGGAAATACTGGAGCTGAGACCCCAACACCCTCCCCTCCCCTCCCTGCAGGACTCACACTGCTGTCAACCAGCTTTGTGAAGGGGCTGTTGGTGCTCCAGCTGCACCATCTTTTCTGCAGCTGTGGGATGGGAGCCAGGAGGTCGTGGAAGGTGCGGGCGCTCCAGGTGCGCTGCCTGGGACAGGGATTCTCCAGCTGCGCGTTCCCCTTCTCAGCAGCGTCCGCTCCTGCAGCTGTGGGGTGGGAGCTCAGCCAGTCAGACACAGAGGCCGGGCTTGTGACGCTTCTTTTCAGGTTTTTGTCCTGAAAAGAGTAAATAAAGATCGTCTATAGGCACCTTTCATCAAAACGTTTTTAAAACACTTTGGAAACAGGCTGTTGGTGCGAGAGAGTGATTGATTCAGTCGTTCTCAGAGGACTCAGGAATGCAGCTTCTCTTCCTTGTTCTTCCAGTGCGCTGCCTGAAGCTCACTGGCTTCCCTGGAGGAAAGTTTTATCTTGCTCCCCCAGTTTAGGGTTTAAAGCTGAAGTGGGAAATTTCAGTTGCGTAAGACGTAGTCCTACAACCCTCACTAAATATATGAGATATCTACAGCTTAATTTTACTGGAAGTATTTGACAGATCAGAGTCATAAACTTCCCTGTGTAAAACAGAATTCTTCCCCTCTGCTTGGCTCTTGGAAGGCTCCAGGTGTGTCTGTCTGGGGAAATAAAACTTAAGGGGGATGGAGCCTACTGAAAGAAATCCCAAAGCTAGCAGGAAGAGAATCAGAAGTCTCAAAAATGCACAGTTTGAGAGAAAAGACTGAAGTAAATGGTGCTCTTTATCCTCTGTAAGGGAAGAATTAAAAATAATAAAAAATAAAGAGAAAGGAAATAATCTGCTCTCAGTGTCTGTGCTGAATAGAACAAGAAGAACAAGAACTGGATTGGAGCCAAGGAGATTTGCATTTCACATAAAAAATGTTGTTCAGGTGGACAACATGCTTTAGGAGTAGAACAAGACATCCAGACAGCTGTAAAATTGGCATCATCAGAAGGTGAGACTACATTAAACTGCTGTCACCAGCCCTGTGAATGAGCAGAGATGATCAGACATGGGAATGAACTATAGACAAACATCTCTTCCATACTTTATAAGTTCTGATGTTGCATTTGAAATCACAGTTTTTGTCCTTAATATTGATATAAGCTTAGAGCCAGGAAAGTTAGACAATTCCTGACATTCCTGTGAATCTCCTTTCATTCTTACTAACACCTCACCTGTTATTTAAGCCTCCTGTTACACAACTCTGTTCATATTTTTAATTTTTAGCTGTGCGAATATGGTTGTCATGAGAAGAATGCAAAATCCATATTCCCAAAGTTTACACAGTCCTTAAAGAGTGTCTGAAATAAATCCCACAGTGTCCTGGATTTTAAAATCCTGAGAAACCAGAAACATGTAATTTGTTATTTCTGAGAATCTGAATCGCCCGAGTTTCTGCAAATCAAAGAAACTATTTAGTGAATGTGTCATATTGGAAATGGATGGGCAGAGAGGCAAGAAATTAGCACTAGATCAGAAAAAGAAACTCAGTAGGAAGCCAGGAGAGGCACCAGGCTCAGGATAAGTTGGTTTCAATATTAAGCTCCTAGTCTAAGATTTTATTAAAGGGACAATCTTTATTTATAAAGTTTTAAGCCAGCTGTCTTCTCCTTAGTGGCCCCTTCAAGCTTTCTTGGGATTTATTATTCTAATATTATTATAAATACCTCCAAACTGATGTAAAAATTATCTACTGGTTTTGTGATAGGTACACTGGAAGGAACTGGGAAGAAGAAGAGTGTATTTTCTAGACTTTGAAAAATGTTTTGACAATAGATGTTTGTTAAGCTTCCATGATCATACTCTTTACTCAAACCTTTGCATCTGAAACTTGCCGTGTCTGATCAGAAAACAGAGATCATAGTCATAAGTCAGCCAAAGGGTGAATGATGCCTTAAACCAAAGGGGATTTAGCAAGCCATGACTACTGGAGGACACCTGGAGTCTCCCCAAAAGCCATCCCACCCTCCATTTCCTCACACCAGTCACAAACAGAGGGGTTTTTATGCTCTCCCAGCTCTTCCCTCACAACACAGGACTGGTGTCTTCAAATAGGTTTGAAAAGCTGCTGAGCAAAAGCCACTTAATCACGGGCTCAGGCCCAGCTGAGCTCGGGCTCACACTTGGTGGGCAGCACAGGACCAAGCAGCCACACACAATTTCTCAGGGAAAAGGTCAAGATAATTTTTTTAATGAAATCTCCTTATAATTTAACAAATTCTAGTCAAGCATTTTGCGTGAGGTGAGTCTGCTGGCATTATTCACTGTGCTGTGAAGGCTCAGGATTTCACACATGTTTTCACAAGGGGATAACTGCTCAGCTCCTGCCAAGGAACGGGCTGTGCTCCAGCAGATATCTCATCCCACTGCCTAGTGCTGGCCACAAAGCCACACACCACATCCTCTGTGAGGCCTGGAGGCTGGCTGGCCAGCAGCACTTCACACCCTAAAAATACACACCTAAAAATTCAACTGTAAACACGTCTGACATCCAGGAGCCCTCAGAATCGAGTGGCCTGATGAGAACCTGTTTGAGTGCAGGTTTGTAATTTGTCTGCTGTGCTCAATTTCCACAGCCCTGGAGAAGATGGTCTTCATCTGTGGGAAAATACCCAGGGCTTTTAAAAAGGCCTGCCATGCTTCCAGCCTTGGTTCCTTGAGGAATTTGGTTGGGAGTATTGCCTCACTTGTGTGCTGCATGGACATCACTGAGGAGATGCTTTCTGACTTAATAATGTGTTTAATTTTTTTGCTTACTTTCATTGTTTTAGCACTCTTTTATTTTTTTAATGTATAAATGCCCTCTGAAGGCTGCTTGCAGAAGCCATGTCAGAATAGAAATGGGGTGTGTATGTGTCTTTGTTCCTTCTGACTAAAGTGGAGAAAAGGGGCAGGAAAATGATTTTCCCTGCTGCCTAGAAGCTGGATGTGTGTGGGGTTGCCACCAGATGAAGCTCTCTGCTTTGGAAAGGACCAGGTTTGTTCAAGGCTACAACTCCCAGTGCCCTTCTTTGGAAAGGACCAGGTTTGTTCAAGGGTGCCCAGTCTGGCTACAACTCCCAGTGCCCTGCTCCACAGAAGGTCAGGCTCAGGCAAGGGAAGGCTCCAGAGCTGTTTTCCTTTCTTTCCCTCTCTCTGTTCATCAGGGTGGCCAGCTGGAGGCAAAGCTCAGCACGTGTCTTACACCAGTGTAGGAAAATCCTGACCAGCCTGGCCTCCTGGCTAATTTCCTAATCAAGTGCAGGGATACAGAATGCTTTTGTTTTGTAAACTGTGACAGAAGTTTTACACAGCCTGTCCTGGGCATGTGAGTTCCTTGTGCTGGTTGTTTATCCTCTTGTGGGAAAAAGAGACAGGGCACTGGAGTATTGACCTGGGAAAGGCTTTAGCAGACACTTGCAGTGGATGTGCTCTGTCTGCACTCACTCAAGGCTGAAGAGGTGACAGCCAGACCTGAGGCTTCTGAGCCATCATCTGTCTCTAAACAAATAAAGGACCAGGAGTCCAGGGGAAAGAGCTAAAATAAGAGAGAACCTGCTGAATCAATTCAAGTTTCTGTCTGTGAATTTGTGAGGCCTCAGTGCTTTCACTTGAAGTATTTGATTTTTTTGGAGTCTAAGCTGTTAATTTTCACATCAGCTTGGTGAGAGACTCTGGAAAGCTGAGGAGCTGAGTAACTTCCCTGATCCCTTGGAGTGGTGGGCAGGAGTAGGTCTGATTCTCAGGTCTTTCATTTGCTACAGGTGGTAATTTTAATGGAACATCAGCTTTGCCAATTAACACCTCTGCAGGTTGGTCCTGCTGTCTGCTGGCAAGCATCTCCATGACTTGCTAGTAGGGTTCTGCATTTGCTCTTCCCAAAGCTGGGAAGATACAGGCGCAGGGGATCACTGCCCACATCATTTGATGGCAGCTCAGCTTGAAGATTAGGAGAACTGCCTGCTTCAGTCCCTGCCTTTCCAGAAAGTGGGCATTAGGCAAAAATGGACAGGTATGACAAGTGCTGTCCAAGAGGGACATCCTGCAGCCTGCTAGAGCTGCTGGGGAATGTACCTGTATCCTGTAGGTGGTAAAGCTCAGCCCACTGGTCCCAGGTCCAGCAGAAATGATAAACACTTCATCACTCCCAGTCTCAGTGGTCACTGCAGAGATGGAGGAGGGCACATCTGGGTCAGTGTCCTGAGGAGACCGTTCTGTGCTGCCTCTGCAGGAAGTGACTGAGAAAGGAAAAAAATCAATAAAGATTTTTGCTCTGCTTGCAAGAGTCCAAAACATCTGTTTCCAACTCCTCCATAACAAACCCTCATCCCTCCCTCCCTCACCAGACAATCTAGAACAGCCTTTGGCTGGCTGTTGCACCAGCCAGAACAGAATTCAAGTCAACAGTTTGCTCTCCTGAAACTGCAAGCTTTTAAAAACAAAACAAAAGAGGAGAGGAGAAACACCCTTGGGTGTGCTTTCTAATAAAAACAGACATTAACTGAAATTCCTTGTGTTAAACACATGAGGTTGTGCTGCAGATCAAAAACTTGCAGACTTGCTCAACTCATTATTTATTTGTATTTACTCATACCTGCTAATATTGGGAGCTGTAGTTTTTGGTTAAACCCCAGAGAACCTGCTCCTACAGGCAGCCTGATGCTCCAGGGACAGCCATGGAGGGGGATGTGTGTCTGCATGTGTCCCCAGGGCCTGGCATCTGGTCCAGGCAAGGACAACTCTGGCCACAGCCTCCTCAAGAAGGAGATGGGAAGCTGTCATGGCTGGGAGTACAGAATTAGCATTTTATGGAGGTACCCTTGTGAGAGCTGAGTGTGTGCCATCACTGGGAAACTGAAGGTGTGTCACAACACAGCATAAAGTCACTCCCTGTTGGCCTCCACTAACCAAAAGGGGCACTGGGACAGTTCATGTGTTGTGACTCAGAATTGCAGCAAGTGACACTGGCTGGGATGCTTTTTCCTGGAAGCACACTGTGAGGTAAATGTCACCCACAGCACCTCCATCCACACAGACCCACAGAAACAGGGAGCTCTGGGAGCTGGAGTTGGCCAAAGACAATCTGAGCATTGTAAAACCCGTCCTTTCTGGACAAAGTTAGGCCCGGGGCAGGTGAAACTCCTCCCCAGTTCAGGGGTCTGAGTAAGTTGTTTGTAGCAGCCTGAGCCCAGCACATTTGCTCTGCTAACCCAGTGTCTCTGCAGTGCCATGTGCTGTCACAGCTTGCGTTGGCAGCGCGCTGGAGCTGTGCTTGCGTGAGCTCCTTGCCAGGGGAATTACCCTACCAGGGAGGGGGAGCAGCAAGGGACAGTGCCCACAACAAAGGCTTTCTGCTGTGGAGTAGCTCTCCAGCTGTGCATGGGCGAGACAGTGACCAGGGCTGTGGGGAAGGAAGGGTCTGGGGCAGTGCCCGGGGCTCGGGCTGCCCTGACCCGCTCCGGCCCATGCCCGCACTCACCCGCCTGCTCCCGGCTCACAGAGTGGTTGTTGTTTTCATTCTCCCGGCTTGGCACCACCAGCTGGAGCTCATTGATATCGACAGTGGAGTTCTGGATCCTGTTCTACAACTCAGAACATGCCCCAGTAAACATCGTCAGATAAACAGTGCAACAGCCAATATGAAAGAGAGAAAGAGAAATTGCTGAAGCCATTAGCACTAACCTCCTGGTCACTGCATGCGTTGGATGAGCTCCTTTTGGGGCACGTTCTCTGCCTGAAAAGGAGAGACAGCAACAACAACAACAAGCCCTCGAGTGAGTTAAAGATCCACAGCAGGAAAGTTCTCGGCTCTGCTCATCCTGCGCGGGGAACCCAGCAGGTTATGAGCATCCAAAATACTTGCCAAGACTCAAGGCAGCAAGGCCTGTAAACAAGGGGAGAAAATTATATGCTCATGTGGTGGAAAGTCAGCTGAAGAAGAGAAGAAGCTGTCATCTTCTTCCTCTGCTCGCTGCAAAAGCAGGAGCAGAGCTCAGACCTCTGCCAAGTCCCACCAGGCTCCCCCTGACAGCTGCTCTTTCACATCACTAACTGAACAGCAGGACTGAGATCCTTCAGTCTGGGCAGTGACATCCCTCCTATCCTGCTAGACAGAATATTTCATCTGCATAGCTAATACTGCATACTGGGTTATATTTAGCAAGCAGAGAGCATCAGATGCTGCTCATTTGTGTGACTGTTTCACTAAAAGGCAGTGTGGCAGCGATGATGGGATGAACGTGCCTTTGGCTGAAGGGAGACACACTCATGTTCTTAGCCTTTTTTTTCACAATTTTACTAAAACTGAGATTATTAAACAACTAGTGTTATAAACTTTTGGATGAATAAGACTCAAAGATATCACAAAGGCTGGCACTGGTGGACCTGATAATGACTGAAACGAGCAGTCTGTGCCCGATGGTGCTCCAGGGGACACTGCAGACACGGGGGAGCATTAGGCACTGACTGATGGGATGCAACCCAGGTTGTTGCAAAGGGAAGTTCTCACCCCAGGTGACAGATGGGCAGCAGGCAGTGACTGGCAGGGCAGCTTGGGTGGGGAGAGATGGCAACACTGAAGGCTGGATGGAGTCACTGCACACTCAAGGGTTGGGAGGCTATGCAGATGTAAAGTGCAGCTGCAATTGGGTTGCAACCATACAGCAATGACTGCATGGGACAGGATTAAAATTAAATAAGATGGATGTATCTGTTGTTCCTGGGGCTTGGGAAAGAAAATAAAAAATCCCCCATTACTCGAGCCAGGCTTCATGGCCAAAAGTAATTAGAATTATTGGCCAACTAACAACTGAAGCTTTCATTCCCTCCCCAAGTAGAAAACAAAAGCTGCAGTGTGGCAGAGACTTGGAGTTTCCCCAGAGAGCTTTGCCCTGCTCAATGCAATGAGCCTGAGCAGATACTGCTGATGACTTGGTGCACTGGAGTGGCAGTGGCTGCCAAGCCCATCCCAGGCCATTTCTACTCCTGGCAAGGCTGAGCCTGCTACTTTTAGCTAAGCAAGAGCAGCAGACAGAAATGGGAAAAAAAAAAAAATCAACAGCTGAACCTGGTACCAGAGGAATAAATAAAGTATGAAGAGAAAAGAAAGTTGAAGGCAAGTTTACAAGGCCAAGAGCTTCCAGGTTCCTCTTGGCATCCCCTGCAGTGCCCAGTCCAGCCAGGACAGGGTCCCTGTGCCTCAGGGGGCTGGTCCCAGCTCTGAGTCTGCTGCACTGGTAAAGCAGCATCATCTCCCCCCTGAGCACACCCCGTGCCACCCTGACATTTTCTGCAGTGAGGACAGACTGTGGCTAATACACATTTGACACCTCATTTCAAGCCCCTATTTAGGACAAGAAGCATAAAATAGAGCTTGATAGGCTCAATCTAAAAGAAGTTTAATGCTTAGTGCTTAATGGCCTCAGCAGTCTTATTCTGAGCTGCATTAAAACCCCACAGCTGTGAGCTGTAGGCGAGCTCCAAGCAGTGCCAGAGGTTCTGGGGCCAGGCACCAACACCCTTACAGCAGTTAGCCCAGTAAAGAGGGAGAAAAGGCTCTTCCAGTGCCACACAGGAGAGGTAACTCAGCACAGGCCATGGCATCGCTTCCACCTGGTCTCACTTAAATGCTCTGACAAAAAATAGAGCGGTGTAATCAAAGCTTCCCAGGAACAGCATGCAGGGAATACAGGAGGCTGGGATAGTAAACACCCTGTCAAGAGGCTAAAGGAGCAGGGGTAGTCTCTATTTTCATTATTTACATTCAGTCAGTAGCTGGCTGAGGCATAAGTATCTTCTTAAAAAAAAAAAAAAAAAAAGAAGAAAAAAAAGAAAAAATAAAACAAAAGAGAGTTGTAGAGCAATGAAGAGGCATAAATGCCAGTGTTAAAAGAAGCAAGCCTAATCCTGTGCCATAGGCACCCCTGTAGGATGTATTCCCAGTGACCAGAACACACAAACATTGGTGTGTGGGGCTGAAGCCCTGTGGACTGTTTTTTCTGTTGGTCAGCAAGAGCAGAACATTATTTTGTAAACATCTAACAAGCAAAAAGCCAAACTGTGAATGTGAGCAGCATGGCCTGACTTTCTAAACAGGCTTTGCAGAGGAAACCTCAGCCAGTGGAGCCTCAGATTGCCGGTGCACTTTTTGGGTTGAATAATACTCTGCTTCATGGATTGTTACAGTGAAATTAAATAGGGGTATTGGAGCAAGAACAGCCTACTCAACATGTGTATCAGCCCAGACTGCTGCCATAGCAAAGGGAGCCTGTTTCTGTCTCTTTTGAAGATTGGCGAGGGTATAAAAATAAAGTATTTGGTATCTGGAAGACATTTTCCACCAGACTTTTTCCTTTAGAGCTAGCAAAAAATTGTGGTCTAAATTAGTGCTCTGCAAGCTCTTTAAAAACAAAAAGGTTAGTTAGATGTAATACATGCAAGTTTAACTCTTACAGCTACAGAAAGTTCAGACCCTGAAAGCAGGAATTTCTATATATACAGAACAGAGATGATATTTAAGCTTCACCACTGTGCCCACGTTCTCTGGTGCCCAGTGGGATTGCCCTGCATTGTGTGTTTATTCTGCCAGAGCTGAAATGCAGCCTCCATCAGGACAAGGAAAACCAAATGGCTCTGCCAAACCAGCCCCAGTGTCCAGGGGTGTCTGGGCAATCCTGAGCCTCTGGGGCTGGAGGATTCACGCTGGATGAGGCAGGGGAGAAACCAGAGCAGCTGCTTGATGGCTCTGGGAAATGAACACTCCTGCCAATACCCAGCCCAGAGTGGAGCCCTGCGAGGGGCACTGCTTGTTTCAGTTTACCTGATGTTTCCATGGAAGGCAAATCATTTGAAAAACGATGTTTATTTTGACAAAAACCTGGGGAGAATGGGCTCTGTTTTGAATTTGTTGGAAGGGAGAGAAATAAATCACTGTTTCTACAAAAATGTTTTCACTAGGGAGTTGGAAAAATGCAAACATATGCTGGGGGGCGGAGAAGTGTTCCTTGGATAGATATAGAGAAAAGAAATACATAAAAGAAAAGCAATTGACTGGAGAGGCATGCTTGTGTAACTGTTAACATTTAACTAGTTAGCATCAGGACCTGGAAAGACACAACCCAGCCTGACCATCAACTCATTTGACTGGATTGTTTTGGATTGCATTTGGGAACAATGAGAGCTACTGCAGCATGGCTCTGGGCTCTTCCCCAGCATCAAAGGGATGTAGAGATGACTTCTTAACACACTGAATGCATTGGATTTAGAATTTCTGCACAGTCTCTTGGATAAAATATGCTACAGATGGGAAAATATTTTTAAATCTTAATTCTATGTGGTAATGCTTTGGTTATTATTTACTTTTCTGCAGAGTGCTAGTGATGGTTAGTTAGAGCCAAACTGTGGGATCTCTGTGAAAAGATGCAGTGACTGTCAGCTCAGCCTGCTCAGGAGGCTCAGGGAAGGATGATCTTCCTCTGCTGATTTTGTCCATCAGCCAAAAGCTGAGATTCAAAGGCACCACTGCCATTGAAACAAAAAATGTCCAGGAAAGTCCTGACTATTCAGGTATTTCTGCAGGAAAAAGAAAATAAATCTGAGGTACAGGAGCTGTAGGAGTAGGAGAGAAAACTGAGGAGCCATGGGCAGAAGCAGTGGGGGACATTGACTTACTCTGTACCCACTTCACCACATTTGGAGGACAGTAGGAGTTAGCAGAGCAAAGGAAAGGTAACTCTCCTCTGGAAATCTAGCTCTTCTCTGGGAATGTAGCTCTTTTCTGGTCATTTCCCTGTGGATAATGTCACATGCTTCCAAGGCTCTGGCATCACCTTACCTGCAAGCTACGCAGAAGGCAGAGAGCAAAGCAAGAGCAAAGACAACAATCCCTGTTCCAATTGCCAGCACCATCATGTTTTCCTTCCTCTCCTGCCTCACAGCATCCACAGTGCTGGGGTCAGTGATGTTCCTGTACTCGAAGAGCATCGCAAAGCCTCGGCCCCGGTCCGTGGTGGTGATCAGCTCCATGATAACCTCCACCATTTCCAGAGATGAACCAAACACCATGGTCTTGTTCACAGGGGAATTTGGGCCGCAGAAGCGAGAGGAAAATGTGATGAGATCAGAAACGTATAATACATCATGGGGACAGACATCCCCTGCTGACTGAGGGCTGGAGGAGACTTCCACGGGCAGTGCTGTTGAGGGAAGAGCCCAGGTCTCTGCTGGGACTTCATCTCTCTCACTAGCAGCTAGGTGGGCAAGCAACATCTTCCCTTCCAAATCCTCCCCTGTTTCCAGGCCACTGGTATTTTGCCTCTGCACTGAGGCACTACCAGCCACAGGGAATGGCAGCTCCTCTGGCTGAGCCTTGGTCATTGCTTTGGGCTCCTTCATCTGCTTCCACTGGTTTCCTTCAGATGCTTGTTTGGCTTCATTTTTTTTTGAGACGGTTCCTGGAAGTTCATCCAGGTGACCAGCAAGGTCCTTTGACTGGTCCCCAGTGCTGCTCAGATCCTGAGCCACCTTTGATGTCGAGGTCCAGAGAGAGGGTTTTGTGGTGTGGACAGAAAAGTCCAGGTTTTCCTCAAGAGAAGGCATATCCTTGTTTTCTGTTGTAGCAGGGGCTGAAAAGCCATCCCAGGGGGTTGGAGTTTCACTAGAGCTCTCAAAAATGTCAAAGTCAAATATTTCCAGGATGAGATGGGTTCTCATGGGAATGAAAAACTGCCAGACACAATGTGTCCCTGGGTAGTAGTTGTTTGGAAAACCTGGTGACAAAATCAGGCCTCTTTCCATTGATTCCACCACTGCACCACAGGAGTAATACACCTGGGAAATAAAACAAAGAATCTTACATCTTGCCTAGATTATACCCAGGATGCAGTCTGCCAGACCAATGGAATTTCTGGCTCTTTTCTTTCCCTTCAGAGACTGGTTTAAGATACCCCCAAGACAGGGAAATTCATTAAGCTTGTGCAAATCTTAGCTCCTACTTTTGTGGAGCATCAATCTAATATGGGAAGGCACTCTTAGAGACTCTGGAAGTGTATATTGGATGGTCAACCTCTAAGAGAAATATCACCCACGTAAGTAATTCACATAATTCTCACTTCCTACTACTGATAATTTGTGCTGTTGGCAAACATACAACTTTTTGACCACACAAATATGTTGCCCTAAACAGTTGGTTTTGTGAGAAAAATCTTAAGAAGCTAAAGGGAAAATGTGTCACAGCATTTAAAACTCTGTGTTATTTTCATTACAAAAACATTTTCATGTAAAAAAAGAACCTTTGCATTGATGATCACCCATGATTCATCCAACCAACTCATCTTCTGTTTCAAGGACATTCAGCCTTATTTACTTCAGTAAAATGTAGCTGCTTTTGATTGGACAAATTGTCTCTTTTTCAAGTGCAAAGCCTCTCAAAATAGTGACAGCAGATACCAGCTCTCACCAGTAAACCAGCATCCAACATGCATTTTACATAACACAGTGACAGTTCCATGCAAATCTGCTATTTCTTCCTTCTCCACAAATAGCCTCCAGCCTCCAAGAAGGAAGGAAGTCCATAAATGGTGGCACTAACCACCATTCTGTGCTTTTCTAAAGGTGCATGAGGCTGCTTTTGCACTTCATATTTACAACTACCTTCTCCCAAAGCCACTCTTAGAGCCTTTTCTCAAGACTCGTTCATAAATTTGCAGAGCACAGAGCCCAGTCTGTGCCTTAGGCAATTGTTTTTGAAAAGGGAAAGAAAAAAAAAAAAAAAACAGAAGTGCTTAAGTCACAAGCCCGGTCTAGGAGCAAGGGTTTATGAGCATTAATTGGAAAATAAAGGGAATGCTTTGGGTTTGGTGTGGTTTTTTTATTGGAAATTATTAGTTGTCTTGGTCTGTTATCTATTTAAACACAAAGGAACTTGGCAGTAGAACAAACGAAGCTTATGAAGTCCATATAAAGCCACAAAGATCAAAATACTCCAGATTTTTTTTCTCTTGATCCCTCCCCTTGGCTCATATTGAAATAGAAAGAAAAAAAAATGCAACACCAAATGTTAAAAGCTCTAAAGTAGAAACAAAAAGCCAGACCTGTTCTACAAGGCACAACCTTTGTTTTCCAGCAGGTGCTGCTCATATTCTGGGGGATTTCAGGGTGGATGCAGGATGGCCACAGAAAAGGACCAAAACAGTAACGTGGGTGGAAACTGCGTTCTGTATTCAACTTGGAATCCAACATTTGACTTGTAAAAGTGTCATCTAAATCAAAGCTTATGTTAATTACAGTGGAATAAACTACAGGCTGCTCATTTAAGGCACCTGGGCTGGATTATGGCTGGAAGTCTCAAGTGGAAAAGAAACCACATTCATTGCCACACACATATTGTTCTCTGTCAATGCCTTAGGAGTCCCATATGTAAAACCAAGACATATTCATAGAAATGTACTGATCTTTTCTCCAAGAGGTAAAATGTTTGGGTTCAGTATGGATTAGTCAATTCATGGGGAATCCAGGGGAAACAAGCAAAACTTTATGCCAATTTAAGAGGCTACAGGTCATGACAGTTAGTTCCATTTACTAATTCATTCAGAATTATAGTTACAGCTGTTGCCACTTGGATTTTACTGAAAACTTGCTGGTTTCCAGTGAATATACTCCTCTTTCCTCGCTTGGAAGAAGAATAGAGGGATTTTCTGCTACTTCTCTTGTATTCCTACATCACAGCATATCGGTGCAGTCTAGCCTTTGTTCCACACTAAGCAGCTGAGCTCACTTTTGAACAAGTATTTGCATAGGAAGAAACAGTAAACACCACCCAACTTTTGCACTAAAATACGTGCCCAGTTTAGGAGGCAGAATGTGCACCAGAACTGCTGCTCGCGCAGGGCGGCACTCCTGGATGTGGGAGGATCACAGCTTGGCTCAAGCCTCCTTAAATTAGCAGTGATTGAGGGCTGAGATTTTGTGTTGGGGAATATGTGAACCGATCCAGTTGCCTTTTTTCAGACACTGAGAAGGCGCTTGGAGGCGTTCACAGCCCCTCCTCTACTACCAGGAGACTTTGTTCACACCCCAGGGCTGCAGCCACCAGATCAGAGGGTCCTGTGGGATTCAGCACCAGAGTGCTGAATGGGGAAGTGCATCCCCCCCAGATCCCTCGCCCCCACCCTCAGGATAAGCTCCCTTTCCTGCCTTCACTTTCACTCAGAGCTGTCAAACTGTCATCATTTGAGGAGGAATATCTTGCACATTCTGTGTACATCCAAGGAGTCTCGGATGCAAGGTGCCTCTTGAGCCAGCAGCTGGTTGCAATAAAAACCCCAAGAGCTGCCCTGCATCCCCAAATCTGGGCAGAGGGGGAAGTGCAATGTGTGAATTCCAGAAATAGGGCTGAAAGGTTGTGGCAGTGGGGGAATTGTTAATTTATTATGGCTTCTGAGACCAAAAAGATTGAAGATTTGCTCTGAGATCAGGGGAAAAAAACCCATAAGGGACAGAAAATGCAAGATAGATCTGAGGGAAGGGGAGGGGGAAGGATTTCTGATTAGTTTATAATCCCCAACTGAATGAATGACAAAATAGTTTTGTTCATTTGAATCACCCATTATGAACCCTGAGTTTTGCCAATTAGACACAGATGTTCCCTTCTGCAGCAAACTACAGGCTTGTGGGCTTTTGACAGATGCATGCAAAAAAAAATTGGCACGTTTTTAATCTTTGCAAATGATAGGTTGTTGTCTTTTTAAAAACAACACTTGATATATGCCCACACCAATTAGGTGAATTATGAGCAGGGAGAACCAGATTACCAATCCTGTTTGTCTGCTTTCCAGTACTTTTCTCTCTGGCCAGAGATTCCAAATGTTTCCAACAGTTGTGTTGAACTGACTCTCCAGTCCATCATGGTCAGACAAATCCCATCTGCTTTCTGTACTGGGGGAACTGGGAAACTGCATTTAGAAGGTTCAAAAGTAACTCAAATCTCAGCTGCTGCTCCTCGGCCATAGACACAATGGTTGGCTATTTCGGAACATGCCAAGACGTTGCATTTCCCCCTTTGACACTACACAGCCCTCTCAAAAGCTTAAATCTTGTGCCATTACTAAAAAATGCCCCATTGTCATGTACTTACCTCCTCCTGTGCTGGTGTTTGGACTGAGAAGTTAATATTGACATCAGCTTTGAGCTATTTTAGATACACATGTGTAAGGAGTTATAAGGCACCAGGAAACACAGGGCTGAGGAGTACAAGGAGGATGTGTGCTTGTCCCTCAAAGGTGGCAGTGGAAGTGGTGCTCTGGTGGTGCTGAGAATGCCCTGCTGCCCTCTGAGGAGCACATCTGCAGCAAACCCACATGTGATGCAGCTGTAGGGAGTTTTTCTTACACATAAAGCTGGGCTGGGTTGGAACAGATGTGGCCAGAAGTGACTGCAGGACACTGCTCAGGAATCTCACTGCAGACACCAGCTCCCAAAGACAGAGGAGCCCCTGCTGTGTTACACAAGGGTGTAGCACAAAGCCAGGGTGCCATTGCTTCAAACTGGATTCTGTACATCAAAGAGCTCTTGAGAAGCAGGAGGCACTGATGAAGAGCAGAATTCCCATGCATAAAAAGGAGAAAATTATTGTTTTGGGCAGATGGGATTTTACCATAAGGCCCACCCAAGAATATGCACTGGGAACAGTAGTTATCATCATCTGATATATAATAAAACTCTTAACTCTGCTCTCCACTCACACTACACCTACAAATGTAGGCCTGGAGCCTCTGCATTCTTCCTGTAGGAACATTGTCAGGGAATCAACACATTCTAAGGGAATCCTACTCTCAACAAGACTAATTTCATTTAATAATATAATTATCTCCCTTTAGTCACAATTGCTGCCAAAGAAGGCACCAGGCTAGAGCTGGACCAGAGGCATGCTCAGAAGCAAGCTCCTCACTTTGCCTTTAGTCACAATTGCTGCCAAAGAAGGCACCAGGCTAGAGCTGGACCAGAGGCTCAGAAGCAAGCTCCTCACTTTGCTGGGACAGGATAAGTTATTGCAGCAGCTCAGAGCA